GACCCAGGAAGAACTCCTGGAGGAGCCGCTGGTGGAACCTCTGGATGAACCTCTGGAGGAGCCTCTGGAGAGCTTCTGGTGAGCTTCTGGAGAGCCTTTGGGGGAACTCAAACCACAAGAAAACCTTTGAGGGGAGCCACGGGGGAAGCTTTTGGGGGGGCCTGCGAACGAGCCTCTGGACGAACCGCTGTGGGAGCCTTTGGGGGGCCCCACGGAGGACACGGTGGCCATTGCTTGTGATGGGGAGCCGACCGCAGGCGTGCGCCTTTGGAAACCCTTGGACGAGTGCCCAGAGAAGCCTCCGGAGGAGTTTCTGGAAGAGCCTCTGGAGGAATCTCTGCAGGAGCCCCTGGATGAACCCCCATGGACAGTTTCTGGAAAAGCTTCTGCTACATCATTTGGCAAAGCCCCTGGAGGAGCTTCTGGTGGAGCCTATGGAGGAGCCTCCGGACGATGTTCTAGAAAATCTCTGGAAAGCGTCAAAAAAACGCATTGCTTTCCTGTTTCCCCCTAGCGCGCCGTCAACTTATAGCGGTGGGGGGTGTCCCTTCGGGGGGGCCCATAGGTCAACTCAACCGCCCTCTGCTCTGCCCCATTCCGCATGCCCCCTCCCTCTCCCCATCCTCGTTCCCCCTACTCCCTCCTCCCACCCCCCTCTCTTTTTCCCGTTCCCCCCTCCCTCCCTCCCTCTGCCTTCCCCCTCCTCCCTTGCCCCTGATGCCCCTTCCCTCCTCCGCGGCGGCGGCGGTATTTATCCTGGGGGCGAGGGGCGGCTGCGCTGAAGATAAAAAGCACGCGCGATTATGACTAGCATTGCTGCCATATGCAATGACAGCAGAACACTGTCACCGCCGAGCCGCAAAGGACTACAACGCTGAAGGGAATCGCGCACCGAGCTCGATGTACATCGCGCAGGGTACAAGAGAATTCCTAGGAAACCACAGCACGCGACCGGGCACCGCGCCCAAACAACTTCTGCGCGCCCTGCCTAGATGCAAAGGGGCGTGCCCAGCGGGCGCAGCCTGGAGGCCAACTCGCCCGGATAAGATTGGCACAATCTAGGCTGTGCGCAACTCAACAGCAATTGCAACGCAAGCAATGGACGACCCCAGACTAAAGCCCCGCCCAAGGGTGCGGTGCGATGGCGGAAAGACCTTCAAAAGTTTATGTTTACCGCTGTTTTTCTCTCCCGAGTTTTGGTCTTCGGTTCCCTTTTGGTTTTCGGCGCTCCTTTGGTTTTCGGCCGTGTTTTGGTCTTCGGTGCCTTTTTGGTGTTCGGCGACCCTTTGGTTGTCGACTTTCTATTGGTTTTCGGCGCCCCTGTGGTTTCTGGCGTGCTTTTCAAGTTCGATGACCCTTTGGGTTTTGGCGCCCTTTGGAGTTTCGGTTCTTTTTGTTTTCCGGTGCCCTTTTGGTGTCCGCCGCTGCTTAGGTTTTCGGCGCCCTTTTGGTTTTCGGTGGCTCTTTGGTTTCCGGCGCTCTTTTGGTCGTCGGCGCTCCTTCGGTTTTGGGTTCCCTTTGGGTTGTCGGCGCGCTTTTTGTTTTCGGCGCTCCTTCGGGTCTCGGTGTTCCTTTGGTTTTCGGAGCATCTTTGGTTTTCGGCGCCCCTTTGGTTTTCGGTGCCCTTTCTCGGTGATCGGCGTCTCTTTGGTTTTCGGCGCCCTCTGGTTTTCGCACCCTTTCGGTTTTCGGTCGCCCTTTGGTTTTCGACAGTCTTTTGGTTCTCGGTGCTCTTTTGATCTTCGGCGCTCGGGGGATTCCAAGCCCCCCCGCCCTTTAGCCCAAAAGCGGGGGGCTTCCGGCAGGGAAAGTTCAAAAGAGGGGGGTACAGTCGGCCTTGATTGGACAAGACACGCGAGAGGACACGAGACCCTTCCGAGGGCCACATCGCCACAGGAGTGTAAGAAGGCACGTGTCGCGAGGCACAGGACACAAAGGTACCCTTGAGCTGGTAGGGTCGACCTACTAATCCGAGCCGACTGTAGCTCAGCCCCCCCCCTTTGGAAAGGGAGGGGGGCAGCTTCCAACGCGCGACATTGGGGAAGCGGGGGACTTCCGGCAGGGAATGTTCAAAAGAGGGGGGGGGGGGAGCTAAGCCCCCCCCCCCTGGAAAGAAAGGGGGGTAGCTCCCAAAGCGCGAAACCGGGAAGGGGGGTGGGGGGTAGTGGAGCCCTCCCCCCTTTGGAAAGGGAGGGGGTAGCTTCCAAAGCGCGAAACTGGATAAGGGGGGGGTAGCTGAACGCCCCCCCTTTGGAAAGGAAGGGGGCAGCTCTCTCTGGCTGGACCCCGCCCAGCTGGCGAGGGGCGACCCGACTGCAGGAGGATCCCGCCCCCACGCCCTCGGACTTCGACCGATCCCGAAGTGGCTTGGCCAAGGCTCGGCGTGGGGCCATCATTTCCATGCGGGACCTCTTCAATATTCAGATTCGTTTGTTGTGTCTGCGGTCTGCGGTCTGCGGTCGGTCTGCTTGCGGTCTGCGGTTGTGTCTGTGGTCTGCGGTTTGTTTGTTTGTTTGTTTGTTGTGTCTGCGGTCTGGCGGTCGGACGGAGCGCGGGACACACTCTTCCGCGCAACTTGTGCATTCAGTTCCAGGACCGCCCCGCCGCTGCCATGCCTCTCGCCCCGTGCCGCGATCCTTCTGGTGGGCAGGGGGCGGCCCTTTGAGGCGAGCGGGGCAAGCCAATTGCTCCCCCTTCGGAGGTGTGCGTCTTAGGCGCTTCGCGCGGCATTTTCCTGCAGTGCTTTATCCTCCTCCTCCGCCTCCTCCTCCTCCTCGCTCCTCGCTCCTCGCTCCTCCTCCTCGCTCCTCCTCGCTCCTCCTCGCTCCTCCTCGCTCCCTGGTCCTCGCTCCTCGTTCCTTCGAGCCCTGGGCTGTTCCTACTGCTCCTCCTCCTCCTCCTCCTCCTCCTCCTCCTCCTCCTCCTCCTCCTCCTCCTCCGCCTCCTCCGCCTCCGCCTCCGCCTCCGCCTCCGCCTCCCGCCTCCTCCTCCTCCTCCTCCTCCTCCTCCTCCTCCTCCTCCTCCTCCTCCTCCTCCTCCCTTTCCTCCCAGCTCAAGTCGTGGGCTGTTGAGCTCGGCCGTCGGCGTCCGCCAGTGCGCGTGCGACGGCGGCGCTGCCGAAGCCGCTGGCGCTGGTGCCCGTCCGTCCACGGCGTGCTCGCTGAAGGGCGGCCCGACCTCGGCGTGCTCGTCAAGGGCGGCTCGTCCTCGGCGTGCGACATTGAGCGCAGTTGCTGGGCGGCTCGGCGCCCTCCGCCCGCCGCTGTGGCCCCCGCGGCGCTGCTGGGCGGACCAGCTGGGGGCCCGTCCTGCGCGCGGAGCGGTGGCGCCTGGGGTCCGTGCCGCAAAGCATCTGCCGCGGCTTGCGCTGCCTCGTGGAGGCTGCCCGGACTCCTGGTGCCGCCCGCGGCGTTCACCCTGCCACTGGCCGGGGGGCTGGCGCCAGGGGGGGAGGGGGCCGTGGCGCGGGGCCGAGGCTGGCTGGCGCCATGGGGCCCTGATGCAGTTGGCTTAGTTGGCCAGCCAGAGGCTGGAAGGCAGCACGGCTATCCCCACTCTCGGTGTACGTAAAAGCACAGTGACTAGCTTGGGTGGCCCCGAGGCTGGGTGTCGCAGCGCCACCAATCAATGGCTGTTGAGTTCGCGGAGTATTGCCGTCTCCGCCCTGTCTCCTGCTTCGTCGCCGTATCTCCCTCCTTCCGTGTTTGATCCACGCTGTGGTTGCAAAAACGCCCAAATGTCCTCCTCCTCCTCCTCCTCCTCCTCCTCCTCCTCCTCCTCCTCCTCCTCCTCCTCCTCCTCCCCCCTCCCTCCTCCCTCCTCCCTCCTCCCTCCTCCCTCCTCCCTCCTCCCTCCTCCCTCCTCCCTCCTCCCTCCTCCCTCCTCCTCTCTTCTCTAGCTCCCTCCTCCTCTAGCTCCCCTCCTCCTCCTCCTCCTCCTCCTCCTCCTCCTCTCCCTCCTCCTCCTCCTCCTCCTCCCCTCCCCCCTCCTCCGCCCTCCTCCTCTCCTCCTCCTCCTCCTCCTCCCTCCTCCTCCCTCCTCCTCCCTGCTTCTCCCTCCTCCCCATGTGCCCCCTCCGCCCCAGGGCCCCCCCAGCCTGGCCCTCCGCGGCGCCCGTGCGCTTCCTGTCGCAGTCGTTGAACTTGTCCACCATCTCAAAGCCTGGGCCAGGCCGGCACGCGCACCTACTGCCTCTTCCTCCTCCTCCGCCTCCTCCTCCTCCCCTCCTCCTCCTCCTCCTCCTCCTCCTCCTCCTCCTCCTCCTCCTCCTCCTCCTCCTCCTCTCCTCATCCTCCTCATCCTCATCTCCTTCTCCCTGGCGCCAAGCGCGGCGGCGGGAAATATGAGAGCTAGAGCCACGCGCGCGCTTCGCGCGCGCTTAGGTTCTGTCGAGTCACAGACCCAGGAATCGTTGTGAGAAGAAATTGGTGACGCGACGCGTCGTGGGGGCGTCCTTGGACGTCTGGGGTCTCCTGGGGCCTCTTGAGGGGCCTCCTGGGGGCCTCCTGGCGGCCTCTTGGGGCGGAAGGCTCGAGCTTGCGGTTCGTGGTCCCCCTCTGGGCCCCCTCTTGGGCCCGTCTTGGGGCCCTCTTGGGCCATCTTGGGCGCCTCTTGGGCCGTCTTGGGGCCCTCTTGGGCTGTCCTGGGGCCCTCTTGGAAGCTTCTTGGGCCGTCTTGGGGCGGTCTTGGGCGCCTCTTGGGCCGTCCTGTAACGTCGGAAAGCCCAAAAGACAACTTTGTTGAAAATGTACGTTTTACGAAGGGAATGGGCCAATCTTTGCGTCTAGGGGCCCTCTTGGGACGCATGTTGGAGGCTTCTTGGGGCCTCTTGGGGGCGTCCTTGGACGTCTGGGGTCTCCTGGGGCATCTTGAGGGGCCTCCTGGAGGCCTCCTGGCGGCCTCTTGGGGCGGAAGGCTCGAGCTTGCGGTTCGTGGGCCCCCTCTGGGCCCCCTCGTGGGCCCGTCTTGGGGCCCTCTTGGGCCATTTTTTTTTTTTAAGAGCCATCGCGAACAATGCAAACTCAGGAGCACCTCGTCATGAGAGCGGGCAGGATGCGCCATGTGCCAGCCTCCCAACCTGTATAGTAAGGACCTCCTCCACCACCCCCACCATCCCCCAGCAGCTCCTCCACCTCTTCCGAGCACCCGCGCCGGCGGCCGGGAAACTCCTGGGGCCGCCAAGAGAGACTCGCCACTGCACACAAGCCTCATCATACCTAGCAGCGCAGCGCATGCTCCAATCTTTCCCACTAGGTAGACAAGATGATACACTCAGGAAGCAGGGTCCCGCATGTTGTTCATGTGGGGTGCCTGGTCGAGTGATGGAAGCGAGAAGGAAGGAGGAGGAGCGAAGGAGAGAAACAAGTAGCGAAGGAACAAGATGCTGTTGATGCGTACGCTAATGCATATTCGACTATTGGATCACGCAGCGCGGGAACAACATGGCATCGTAATCCAAAAAACTGAGCTTAGAATACCTGCTGCCGAATAAGACATCTCCTGCGCAGGGGAATGATTAAGAAGCTGCGCTCAACAGAATTGTCTCTTCTTGCCATAAGTGAACCACATGCTGAAGACATTGAGGGTTTTATTCCCGCCAGCCCATGGTGCTCGCAAAGCAACACCCACGGTGCTTTGATTGGTCCGCTCCACCATGCCTTTCATGCAATCGTGGCCGTCGTCCTGACCGAAGCACCATTTCCATTTGAGAATGTCATAATAGAACTGGAGGTATGACCCAGGCATGATGGCGAACAAATCATGCACGCCTTTTTTGGGGCACTGGTACGGGAACAGGACCTTTCTGAAATCTGCATCGGGCCATTGGTCGATGGGCACCTGCCACACGGTGTCGTGACGTAATATGAGGACCAAATTGTATTTGACCGCCACGTACGACCTGTTCGACGTTCCATATTCGCTGCCGAGCAAGCCATGCTCAGCACTGTAGTTTCGGAGCTGGTCGATCGCCCACATGATATTTGTTCTCTGGTGACCACTTGCATTCTGGCTCTGCATCTTAACGCGCTCGCGCCCGATCCTGGAAACAATCCTCTCGTCAGTCAGGTTGCACACCCGGTCAGTCACGACGACGTCCACCTCATTGCCGTAACGCTCAAATCGAGCGATCACGTTTCGCACCAACGAATCCGTTGCTCTCCCCTGCCTCTCGAGGGACTCCGTGTCGTTCACGCAGCTCGCATTCTTTCGATACTTGCCGCCCTTCCCGCGAAAGCTGGCGCCTCGGAGCACGATGGCAACACGCCCACCGCTCGGGAAGCCCACTCCGTGGATGCCGGTGTCCGGTGCGCCGTCGAAGTGCCCTCCCTCGTACGGGTCAGACACGTTTTCGTCGGGATCATCGTGCTGCTGAACCCCGACGCGACCCTCCAGCCTTATCCTCTCTGGGCTCCTCTCTCGCGCATGGCCGTGAGCGTCTGCAATATGAAGCCCCACTGCTACGGGAAGGAATAAGCATAACAACAACAGCATGGCCAAGAGCGAACCAGCAGACGTACTTGGTCCCCGAACGTGGGGGCCTGATCGTTATGCAGACGGACAGGATCGGTATGAATATAAGTGTGAGCAGTGTCGGTGCCAAACTGGCTTGAGCCACGACGGCTTGAGCCAAAATGGCTACGGAGGGCCCTCTTGGGCCATCTTGGGCCGTCTTGGGGCCCTCTTGGGCTGTCCTGGGGCCCTCTTGGAAGCTTCTTGGGCCGTCTTGGGGCGGTCTTGGGCGCCTCTTGGGCCGTCCTGTAACGTCGGAAAGCCCAAAAGACAACTTTGTTGAAAATGTACGTTTTACGAAGGGAATGGGCCAATTTTTGCGTCTAGGGGCCCTCTTGGGACGCATGTTGGAGGCTTCTTGGGGCCTCTTGGGGGCGTCCTTGGACGTCTGGGGTCTCCTGGGGCCTCTTGAGGGGCCTCCTGGGGGCCTCCTGGCGGCCTCTTGGGGCGGAAGGCTCGAGCTTGCGGTTCGTGGTCCCCCTCTGGGCCCCCTCTTGGGCCCGTCTTGGGGCCCTCTTGGGCCATCTTGGGCGCCTCTTGGGCCGTCTTGGGGCCCTCTTGGGCTGTCCTGGGGCCCTCTTGGAAGCTTCTTGGGCCGTCTTGGGGCGGTCTTGGGCGCCTCTTGGGCCGTCCTGTAACGTCGGAAAGCCCAAAAGGCGACTTTGTTGAAAATGTACGTTTTACGAAGGGAATGGGTCAATTTTTGCGTCTAGGGGCCCTCTTGGGACGCATGTTGGAGGCTTCTTGGGGCCTCTTGGGGGCGTCCTTGGACGTCTGGGGTCTCCTGGGGCCTCTTGAGGGGCCTCCTGGGGGCCTCCTGGCGGCCTCTTGGGGCGGAAGGCTCGAGCTTGCGGTTCGTGGTCCCCCTCTGGGCCCCCTCTTGGGCCCGTCTTGGGGCCCTCTTGGGCCATCTTGGGCGCCTCTTGGGCCGTCTTGGGGCCCTCTTGGGCTGTCCTGGGGCCCTCTGGAAGCTTCTTGGGCCGTCTTGGGGCGGTCTTGGGCGCCTCTTGGGCCGTCCTGTAACGTCGGAAAGCCCAAAAGACAACTTTGTTGAAAATGTACGTTTTACGAAGGGAATGGGCCAATTTTTGCGTCTAGGGGCCCTCTTGGGACGCATGTTGGAGGCTTCTTGGGGCCTCTTGGGGGCGTCCTTGGACGTCTGGAGGCCATCTTCAGCATCTCGGAGCCCTCTTGGAGGCCTCTTGGAAGTTTCTTGGGCCGTCTTGGGCGCTCCTGGGGCCGTCTTGTCTGACCGGGGAGGCCTCCGGCAAGCCCCGACGAGCCTCCGGGCCCCCCGGAGCCCACATTTGTGGTCGAGGTCCCGGCCCCGGGCCCCCGGACCCGGTGCGCCGTTATATGTATACAATGGAACTCATGCATCGCACCATGTTTGGAATCCCTTCAGGTATCGCTCCAGCCCTGTTCCACTCCTGGGTCGAAGATCGACGACGCCTCAGGAGACGCCAGCGCGATACGGTGCATACGGGTCGTCCGCGGAGGAAGGGGGCGGGGCACGCATACCGATTCGCCACCAGCAGGAGGCAAGCCTCGAACGGGTGGTCCAATTCGACGACTGGCGGGGGTCGCCCCTCAGCAGAGGCAGGGCACGCTGCCTGGGGAGAGACGGGGAGAGGCGGGAAAAAGCAGGCTAGAAGAGCGGAAGATGTATGGAGGGAGCTTTGGAATCGAGGTTCGACCATCGATCCTCGTCGTGACAGTCGTCGGTATCGTCCGAGATCTGGGAATGCAGCAGCACGCACAGGGCCCAGCCGGAGCCGCCGAGCGGCCCGCCGCGCCGCCCGCGCGGAGGGGAGGGGGAACTTCGAGGATCGAGGATCGAGGAGGGAAGATCGAGGAGGAGGAGGAGGAGGAGGAGGAGGAGGAGGAGGAGAAAGAGAGGAGGAAAGGAGGAGGAGGAGGAGGCGGAGGAGCGGCGCAAACCCTTACGAACCAAGACAAGGCTGAAGTGCATCCTGCCCACCTCCTGCTTCCTGCTCCTGCCTCCTCCTCCTCCTCCTCCTCCTCCTCCTCCTCCTCCTCCTCCTCCTCCTCCTCCTCCTCCTCCTCCTCCTCCTCCTCCTCCTCCTCCTCCTCCTGCTCCTCCCACCAGGGTGGGAGGGGAGAAGGGGGGGGCAGCGGAGGGCGCTGACAAGGCAGGGGTCGGCGCCGTTCTCGGTGAGGAAGCCGAAGAACTTCTGGTAGTCCATGCAGTTCTTCTTGCAGTCCTCGGAGGGGGATAGAGAGGGGGGAACGTCAGGGGGAGACTGGCTCAAGAGGGGGGAAAACGTCGAGCTGGAATCGACGGCACATCGCCAGCAGATCGGCTACAGTGGGGGCTCGGCCACAAGAAACCTCCGCAAGAAACCCAACCCTGAAATACGCGATCTGTTCCGTGAAAATCCACACGTGTCGATCGAAAATCGTCATGATCTGATTGGGAGCCCGTCAAAATCCAAGAAACCCAGGGCACCCTGGCAAAATCCAAGTGGTTTCTTGGCACGCGCCCCCACTGTATGGTGAACGAGCGACGCGCGAAGCGCCCCTGGCAGGGGACGGGCCGACTAGAGCGCCCTGCGCGGGGCGAGACCGTGGCCGCCTCAGAGCTCCTTCGCGGCGCCATCCAGAGGTGCTGACAAAAAAACCCTCGCCACCACAGGAGGAGGATGGAGGATCGAGGATCCCCGTCCTCCTCCTCCTCCTCCTCCTCCTCCTCCTCCTCCTCCTCCTCCTCCTCCTCCTCCTCCTCCTCCTCCTCCTCCTCCTCCTCCTCCTCCTCCTCCTCCTCTCCTCCTCCTCCTCCTCCTCCGCCTCCTCCTCCTCCTCCTCCTCCTCCTCCTCCTCCTCCTCCTCCCCTCCTCCTCCTCCTCCTCCCTCCTCCTCCTCCTCCTCCTCCTCCTCCTCCTCCTCCTCCTCCTCCTCCTCCTCCTCCTCCTCCTCCTCCTCCTCCCCTCCTCCTCCTCCTCCTCCTCCTCCTCCTCCTCCTCCTCCTCCTCCTCCTCCTCCTCCTCCTCCTCCTCCTCCTCCTCCCTCCTCCTCCTCCTCCTCCTCCTCCTCCTCCTCCTCCTCCTCCTCCTCCTCCTCCTCCTCCTCCTCCTCCTCCTCCTCCTCCTCCTCCTCCTCCTCCTCCTCCTCCTCCTCCTCCTCCTCCTCCTCCTCCTCCTCCTCCTCCTCCTCCTCCTCCTCCTCCTCCTCCTCCTCCTCCTCCTCCTCCTCCTCCTCCTCCTCCTCCTCCTCCTCCTCCTCCTCCTCCTCCTCCTCCTCCTCCTCCTCCTCCTCCTCCTCCTCCTCCTCCTCCTCCTCCTCCTCCCTCCTCCTCCTCCTCCTCCTCCTCCTCCTCCTCCTCCTCCTCCTCCTCCTCCTCCTCCTCCTCCTCCTCCTCCTCCTCCTCCTCCTCCTCCTCCTCCTCCCGAGTGGCGATCGCCCCGGGACGGCCCGTCGAGCCTAGGAGCACAGGGACGCAGACGGGGCGGGAAAGTGTGGGCGACCACTCTTCTCTGCGGCCGATGGGTCTCTCTGAGGTCCGGTGGGTGGTTTGCGGTCCCACGCACGCCCGGATTGGCTTCTTGGCATCGACCCATTTCAGGTTCCAGAATCACCTTGGAATCGTTCCGGGGTGAGAATTGGAACCTGAAGCGGGTGATCTTCCATCTGGGCGCTCTCGAGAGCCTTATGGGCCGCCTCTCGGGGATAGGGAGGGGGTGTACCCGAGCCCCAGAAATTATAATTTTCCACATGAAATCTCTGATCAAGGAGCCTTTTTCTCGCCATGGGGTCCTCCCGCCCAGTGTCGGGAGCGCCCGAATGGATTTTCACCCTGGAACCGTTCCAGGGTGAAAATCCATCCGGAATTTCCCCCAGTGCAAAACGGTGCTATCGGGGATGGGGAAGTGGTGTACCCGAGCCCCCCAAAATCGTCATTTTCCGAATGATATCTCTTATTGTTGAAAGATGCAAAAAAGCCCCTACCCTGGTTTACAAGTGCGTGGTCCGCAAACCTCCTGGGAGCTCCCACGGGCCAGAGAGCCCCCAGGACGCCGCGCGACGCGCGCGATGTGCAGGGCTCACCCTGTCAGCCCACAGGAGGTTCAGCGCACGGCGCCTCGTCAACCAGGGTAGGGGCGTTCTGAACGCCCTTGCTGTTGGGGGGGGACTGACGAAAGCAGGGGGAGGGGGCGCGGACCTGGAGTCGACGACGCATCGTCGACGAGGCCTGCGACGGCGAAGCCGCGCTCTCCTGGGCCCGGGTGGCGGGCCCGGGCCCCCGACCGGCGTCGACCGGGTGACCGAAGGGCAAACGCTGACGCGGCTTGGGCATCCGCGGCTCTGGAGCGTGAGCTCGGCGGCGAGCGAGGGGGGGGGAAGCGAGAAGGGGCGGGTCTTCTCAGAAGGCTCGGAAGTCCCAAGTGAGGAAGGGGCGGGCCTTCTCTCGACCGGATGATCGAGAGGCACACGCTGACGTGGCTTGGGGATCCATGGCTCTGGAGCGTGAGCGGCAGATCCACGGATCGGGGATCGGCGGTGCACAAGCCTCCCTCTTGTAAACCTCCCATTGGTGAAAACGGCCTGGGGCCGACACCGACGGACCTGGACCCGCAAAAACGACGGCCGCGACGCCCTCTCGCGAACCGAAAACGGCCAATTCCTTAATCGACGTGTCAGGGTAGGAGGTCTATCAACCTCCGACACACGCTGAAGTGGATTAGGGATCCATGGATCTGGAGCGTGAGCGGCAGATCCACGGCGGATCGGGGACAGGGTCCAACACACACCAGTTTTACGAGCTGCGTCCAGCCGTGGCGACGAGGGGGCCCTCCGAAGATCTACTACCGTTGCCTCAACTCGCCCTCCTCTGAGGCCGATGTTGCCCCCGCCCCTCCCCCGTGGGCCAATCCCCCCCCTGCCGCTGCCCCTGGAAGGCGGAGTTCCCTGTGATCGGCACCGTGTACTGGGCCACCCGCCTCGGTGCGCACCTCCGGCGCCGCCCAACCGCCCGTCGCGCTCTTTAGCGCGACGAAGGCGGACAAGGGCGGGCGGGCAGCCCTCTGTTCTGCCTACAGGGGGACTTCATTGGACAGGACACGCGAGAGGACAAGAACCCTTCCGAGGGCCACATCGCCATAGGAATGCAGGAGGCACGGGTCGCGAGACACAGGACACAAAGGTACCCTTGATCTGGCAGGGTCGA